ACCGGCTACAAGGATCCCTACACCGGGGAGCAGATCTCTCTCTTCCAGGCCATGAAGAAGGACCTCATCGTGCGGGAGCACGGCATCCGCCTGCTGGAGGCCCAGATCGCCACGGGCGGCATCATCGACCCGGTGCGCAGCCACCGCCTGCCGGTGGACGTGGCCTACCGGCGCGGCTACTTCGACGAGGAGATGAACCGCGTCCTGGCGGACCCGAGCGACGACACCAAGGGCTTCTTCGACCCCAACACGCACGAGAACCTCACCTACCTGCAGCTGCTGGAGCGCTGCGTGGAGGACCCCGAGACGGGCCTGCGCCTGCTGCCCCTCACGGATCAGGCTGCCAAGGGTAGGGAGCTGGTCTACACTGACTCGGAGGCCCGGGACGTGTTCGAGAAAGCCACCGTGTCCGCACCATTTGGCAAGTTCCGGGGCAAGACGGTGACCATCTGGGAGCTCATCAACTCAGAGTACTTCACGGCAGAGCAGCGGCGGGACCTGGTGCGGCAGTTCCGCACGGGCAAGGTCACCGTGGAGAAGATTATCAAGATCGTCATCACGGTGGTCGAGGAGCACGAGCAGAAAGGGCAGCTTTGCTTCGAGGGCCTGCGCGCCCTGGTCCCTGCCGCCGAGCTGTTCGAGAGCGGGGTCATCGACCGCGATCTCTACCGCCAGCTGCAGCAGGGCGAGCGTTCGGTGCGAGAGGTGGCCGAGGTGGATGCCGTGCGGCGGGCCCTGCGGGGCAGCAACGTCATTGCTGGTGTGTGGCTGGAGGAGGCGGGACAGAGGCTGAGCGTCTACGAGGCCCTGAAGAAGGACCTACTGCAGCCAGAGGCGGCGGTGGCCCTCCTGGAGGCCCAGGCCGGCACCGGGCACATCATCGACCCCGCCACGAGCGCCCGGCTCACCGTGGACGAGGCGGTGCGGGCCGGCCTGGTGGGGCCTGAGCTGCACGAGAAGCTGCTGTCGGCTGAGAAGGCCGTGACCGGCTACAAGGACCCCTACTCAGGGCAGAGCGTCTCCCTGTTCCAGGCCCTGAAGAAGGGCCTCATCCCCAGGGAGCAGGGCTGGCGCCTGCTGGATGCCCAGTTGTCCACAGGTGGCATCGTGGACCCGAGCAAGAGCCACCGTGTGCCCGTAGACGTTGCCTGTGCCCGGGGCTACCTGGACGAGGAGACCAGCCGAGCCCTGTCGGCGCCCAAGGATGAAGCCAAGACCTACTGCGACCCCGGCACACAGGAGCCGGTCACTTATGGCCAGCTGCAGCGACAGTGCCGGCCCGACCCGCTGACGGGGCTGAGCCTGCTGCCGCTCTCGGAGAAGGAGGCCCGGGCCCGGCGGGAGGGACTCTGCTCCGAGCTGCAGGCTCGCGAGACCTTTCAGAAGACTGCCGTTGAGGTCCCCGTGGGCAGCTTTAAGGGCAAGACGGTGACTGTGTGGGAGCTCCTCAGCTCCGAGTACTTCACGGCGGAGCAGAGACAGGAGCTGGTGCGGCAGTTCCGCACGGGCACCGTCACCGTGGAGAAGATCATCAAGATCGTCATCACCATCGTGGAGGAGGTGGAGACCGTGCGCCAGGAAAGGCTGTCTTTCAGCGGCCTCCGCGCCCCGGTGCCGGCCAGTGAGCTCGTGGCTGCCGGCGTCCTCAGCAGGGCCCAGTTTGAGCAGCTCAAGGACGGCAAGACGTCTGTGAAGGACCTGTCAGAGGTGGACTCTGTGCGGACGCTTCTCCGGGGTAGCGGCTGCCTGGCCGGCATCTACCTGGAGGACTCCAAGGAGAAGGTGACCATCTATGAGGCCATGCGGCGGGGCCTGCTCAGGCCCAGCACGGCCACTCTGCTGCTCGAGGCCCAAGCGGCCACCGGCTTTCTGGTGGACCCTGTGAGGAATCAGCGCTTGTACGTCCACGAGGCCGTGAAGGCGGGCGTCGTGGGCCCCGAGCTGCACGAGAAGCTGCTGTCTGCCGAGAAGGCCGTCACCGGCTACACGGACCCCTACTCCGGCGACACCATCTCCCTCTTCCAGGCCATGAAAAAGGGCCTGGTCCTTAGGGAGCACGGCATCCGCCTGCTGGAGGCCCAGATCGCCACGGGCGGCATCATCGACCCGGTGCACAGCCACCGCCTGCCCGTGGACGTGGCCTACAAGCGCGGCTACTTTGACGAGGAGATGAACCGCATCCTGGCGGACCCGAGCGACGACACCAAGGGCTTCTTCGACCCCAACACGCACGAGAACCTCACCTACCTGCAGCTGCTGGAGCGCTGCGTGGAGGACCCCGAGACGGGCCTGCGCCTGCTGCCCCTGAAAGGAGCTGAGAAGACGGAGGTGGTGGAGAGCACGCAGGTGTACACGGAGGAGGAGACCCGCAGGGCGTTCGAGGAGACGCAGATCGACATCCCTGGCGGCGGCGACCGCGGCGGCTCCACCATGTCCCTGTGGGAGGTGATGCAGTCGGACCTGATCCCAGAAGAGCAGCGAGCCCGGCTCATGGCGGACTTCCGGGCCGGCCGGGTGACCAAGGAGCGTATGATCATCATCATCATCGAGATTATCGAGAAGACCGAGATCGTGCGCCAGCAGAACCTGGCTTCCTACGACTACATCCGCCGCCGCCTCACGGCCGAGGACCTCTACGAGGCCCGGATCATCTCCCGCGAGACCTACGGCCTCCTCCGGGAGGGCGCCAAGAGCCTCCGAGAGGTGCTGGAGGCGGAGTCGGTCTCACGCTACCTGTACGGCACGGGCTGCGTGGCTGGCGTCTACCTGCCGGGCTCCCGGCAGACGCTCACCATCTACCAGGCGCTGAAGAAGGGGTTGCTGAGTGCCGAGGTGGCCCGGTTTCTGCTGGAGGCACAGGCGGCCACGGGCTTCCTCCTGGATCCCGTGAAGGGCGAGCGGCTGACCGTGGACGAAGCCGTGCGGAAGGGCTTGGTAGGCCCCGAACTGCACGACCGGCTGCTCTCGGCCGAGCGGGCCGTGACCGGCTACCGGGACCCCTACACGGAGCAGACGATCTCGCTCTTCCAGGCCATGAAGAAGGACCTGATCCCTGCCGAGGAGGCCCTGCGGCTGCTGGACGCCCAGCTGGCCACGGGCGGCATCGTGGACCCGCGCCTGGGCTTCCACCTCCCCTTGGAGGTGGCCTACCAGCGCGGCTACCTCAACAAGGACACGCACGACCAGCTGTCGGAGCCCAGCGAGGTGCGCAGCTACCCGGATCCCTCCACGGACGAGCGCCTCAGCTACACGCAGCTGCTCAGGAGGTGCCGTCGCCACGAGACCAGCGGCCAGCTGCTCCTGCCGCTTTCGGACGCCCGCAAGCTGACCTTCCGCGGCCTGCGCAAGCAGATCACGGTGGAGGAGCTGGTGCGCTCGCAGGTCATGGACGAGGCCACGGCGCTGCAGCTGCGGGAGGGCCTGACCTCCGTGGAGGAGGTCTCCAAGAACCTGCAGAAGTTCCTCGAGGGCACCAGCTGCATCGCCGGTGTCTTCGTCGATGCCACCAAGGAGCGGCTGTCCGTGTATCAGGCCATGAAGAAGGGCATCATCCGCCCCGGCACGGCCTTCGAGCTCCTGGAGGCGCAGGCGGCCACCGGCTACGTCATCGACCCCATCAAGGGGCTCAAGCTGACTGTGGAGGAGGCCGTGCGCATGGGCATCGTGGGCCCCGAGTTCAAGGACAAGCTGCTGTCGGCCGAGCGCGCCGTCACCGGCTACAAGGACCCGTACTCGGGGAAGCTCATCTCTCTCTTCCAGGCCATGAAGAAAGGCCTCATCCTGAAGGACCACGGCATCCGCCTGCTGGAGGCCCAGATCGCCACGGGCGGCATCATCGACCCCGAGGAGAGCCACCGGCTGCCCGTGGACGTGGCCTACAAGCGCGGCCTCTTTGACGAGGAGATGAACGAGATCCTGACCGACCCCTCGGACGACACCAAGGGCTTCTTCGACCCCAACACAGAGGAGAACCTCACGTACCTGCAGCTCATGGAGCGCTGCGTCACGGACCCCCAGACGGGCCTGCGACTGCTGCCCCTGAAGGAGAAGAAACGGGAGCGGAAGACGTCCTCCAAGTCCTCGGTGCGCAAGCGGCGTGTCGTGATCGTGGACCCCGAGACGGGCAAGGAGATGTCCGTGTACGAGGCCTACCGCAAGGGCCTCATCGACCACCAGACGTACCTGGAGCTGTCCGAGCAGGAGTGCGAGTGGGAGGAGATCACCATCTCCTCTTCCGACGGCGTGGTCAAGTCCATGATCATCGACCGCCGCTCAGGCCGCCAGTACGACATCGACGAGGCCATCTCCAGGAGCCTCATCGACCGCTCGGCGCTGGACCAGTACCGCGCCGGCACGCTCTCCATCACCGAGTTCGCCGACATGCTCTCGGGCAACGCTGGTGGCTTCCGCTCCCGCTCTTCTTCCGTGGGGTCCTCCTCCTCCTACCCCATCAGCCCCGCCGCCTCCAGGACCCAGGCGGCCTCCTGGTCAGACCCCGCCGAGGAGACCGGCCCCGTGGCCGGCATCCTGGACACGGAGACGCTGGAGAAGGTGTCCATCACGGAGGCCATGCACCGCAACCTGGTGGACAACATCACCGGGCAGCGGCTGCTGGAGGCCCAGGCCTGCACGGGGGGCATCATCGACCCCAGCACCGGGGAGCGCTTCCCCGTCACCGACGCCGTCAACAAGGGCCTGGTGGATAAGATCATGGTGGACCGCATCAACCTGGCCCAGAAAGCCTTCTGTGGCTTCGAGGACCCGCGCACCAAGACCAAGATGTCGGCCGCTCAGGCCCTGAAGAAGGGCTGGCTCTACTACGAGGCAGGCCAGCGCTTCCTGGAGGTGCAGTACCTGACGGGGGGCCTGATCGAGCCCGACGCGCCGGGCCGTGTGCCCCTCGACGAGGCCCTGCAGCGTGGCATGGTGGACGCCCGAACCGCCCAGAAGCTGCGAGACGTCGGCGCGTATTCCAAGTACCTCACCTGCCCCAAGACCAAGCTCAAGATCTCGTACAAGGACGCGTTGGACCGCAGCATGGTGGAGGAGGGCACGGGGCTCCGGCTGCTGGAGGCCGCCGCCCAGTCCAGCAAGGGCTACTACAGCCCCTACAGCGTCAGCGGCTCCGGCTCCGCGGCCGGCTCGCGCTCCGGCTCGCGCACCGGTTCCCGGGCTGGCTCCCGCCGCGGCAGCTTTGACGCCACGGGTTCCGGCTTCTCCATGACCTTCTCCTCCTCCTCCTACTCTTCCTCGGGCTACGGCCGCCGCTACGCCTCAGGGCCCGCGTCCTCCCTGGGGGGCCCCGAGTCCGCGGCGGCCTGACCCGCTGCCTGCACCCCTGCCCTCCCGCTCTGCATGTGGCCAGGTTCCCTGCCCAGGCGTTGGGGTCTTTAACGTTTCAAAGGTGTCTTCCTCCCAAGCGGTGCCTAAAGTCTAACCAAAAAGAGCAGACTAATATATTAATGATGTATCTGCTGTCCAGACAGCCTGCGTCCCAGGGAGGCGGTCAGGGAGGGAGCTGGTGCAGACCCGCTCACCAGCTCATCCCCCAGGCCTCCCTGCTCCTGTCTACCTGCCACTCACCACAGCCAGGTGCCTTGGAGGGTCCCGGGCCCGGCCCCAAGCCCGGCCCTCCTAGCCCTCCCGTCTCTCTAGAGGGTATCGTCTGGGCGAGGTTCCCCCCCCCCCCCCCCCCCCCCCCCCCCCCCCCCCCCCCCCCCCCCGCCCCGCCGCCCCAGCCCTGCTCGCTGGGCTCACTGACACCCAACCACTGATCCTAGCTGCCCGGGGGAGCGGGGTCGGCCCCGTCGCTAGCAGGGCCCTCAGAACCAGCTTCTCTTCCTGTTTCCAGGACTGATTTCCTTGCTCGGTGGGCCTTGCTGGGGAGGGAGGGGGTCCGGGGTTAGTCATCTCTTTTCTAGCCTGCCCGTGGGAAGATGAGGGTCCAGTCTACAGAACCAGCTGGCCCAGGCCAAGCCTCTCCCGTGCCCGGCCCGCGCCTGGCCCCTGCCCAGCTGCAGGCGCCGTCCCTAGCCCCTAGCCCCTGACACTGTCCCGAGACCCCAGGCGTCCGGCTTCAGCCTTCCAGCCTCAGTCCCTTAGTAAGTGCCTTCAGTGTCCTCCCTCCACCCCAGGCCCCGAGGACCCAGACCTGGGGTGGGAGACAGACCCTCCCGGTGACAGACTCCCCACCGGCCCAGCTCCCGGGCGTGCCAGCCCCGGGGCCAGGCTGGGTATGGCCGGGGCTTCTGCAGGACTCTGCTCCCCCGTGGGTCCCCCCTGGGTGCTTCCTGCCTGTCTGTCCACGACAGCCTCACCTCCTTGTCAGGCCCGGGCACAGGCAGCCCAGCCCAGTTCCCTCCCCTCTTGTTCCATCCAGCCCCTGGCCTCGGTGGCTTCCACCCCTGCCTCCACTCTCTGATGAAGCTTTGCATGTTCCACTAACCCAGGCAGGCGGCGGGTGGAGGCGCCAGGCTTCGGCTGCCTCCGTGAGGGCAGAACACTAACCCGACCACGGGTGAGCCTGCAGCGCTCACCCCAATAAAAGCAATTCCAACCTTCCTGTGGGTCCTGCGTTGTTTTCTCATCCCCGGGTCGGGTGTGTGCTGGGGGCCGGGTGGATCAACGCTGCAGCCCCAGGCTCTGAGCTTGGCCGGGCATCTGGGCCAAGGGCAGGGGAGCAGGGCCTCCGTGACTGGCCTGAGGCCTGTGTTTCCAGTACCGAGCGGAGGGCAGGGCGGAGGCTTGCTCGCGTACGGTCCTCAGCCCCTGCCGCTCGTCCCGCTGATGGCCTGTCACTCTGCCGGGCCCACACACCCCGTTCGCAGGCGGCGCTGCTGAGGGGGGTCCGTGCTCTCCCGTCAGCCAACGTCGCCCGTGCCCCTCACGGCCCATCCTTCGGAGGGAGCCCGGGTAAGCTGGTTCGGTCAGCAAAGGTTAACGCCGCAGGGAAGGCCGTGGTCGCGAGCCTCGGCGGCTGGACGGTGAGCGAGGCATCAGGGTCTGTGCTGCGGTCCTCCCGCCCCCGTCGCCCCAAGTCCACACACCGCTCCTTACATCGGGCTTGTCCAGCCTCCCGGGTTCTCTCTGGGGAAACTCACGAGAGGAGGCTGCGTGGGGCTGGCCGCAGCCCTGCCGAGCCACTCGCCCTGAGGCCACGACGGAGGCCCACCTGCCTGCTCTGCCCAGGGTGGGGGCGGCTGACCGAGAGCCTCGTCTTTGGGGCCTGAATCCTGGCCATCGTGTCCTTATCGGGCTCCGCTCCTTTGCCCGCTGCCGCAAACGGCAGAAATAACCAGGATCCCCACCGGGATGGGATCCGGAACAAGGAGTCTCCGTGGCCAGGTGGCGGGGTCTTCCTCCTGGGGACCGGGACTGGCGGCTCCTCACCCTAAGGTGGCAGGCTCGCTCCCGGTGGGTCTCTGGAGTATGGTGGGCTGGCCACTGCTTCTACTCCTTGTTCCCAGACTCCTGTCTCCACCCGCGGGGCCCACGGACTCCGGGTAAGGCCCGCGTCCTGGGGGATGGCGCCCCAGTTCCGCCAGGCCGGCAGCCTCTGCCGGGCATGCCGTCCCCTGCGGCCCCGGGCCCTGCCGCGCACCCTTGCCATAAGGGGGCCCGAGCGCCGTGGCGATGTCCCGCCGGGGTCCACCCCGCAGGCCTGAGCGTGGCACCTGGAACGTGAGTCGGAAGCGACGGATCCCCCACTGGCCGGCCGGCTCTGGGGTCTCTGCCGCCGGGCTGACGTGCAGCGTCACACGGCACACGGGAGAGCGGCGGGGCTGGCCGGGGAGGGGAGCTGCGTCGTCGGCCCGTGCCGGGCCCATCTCCACA